TGAAAAATTAGAAGTTTTGGCATGCTCACTGGCCATACACGTATGAGGGGATGTCATACACATATGGGGGACACTCCCAGAGGCCGTATGCGTAGCATACATGCCTTGTCCATAGAGCCAACACGAACCTCTTCCAGTACGCGTATGATGGGGTGGCCATACGCGTATGACAGGGCCAGTACGCGTAGGGGTAGCTTTGGGGGAAGCCATACACATATGGGGAATTTGAAGGGATTTGAGAGGGAAACCCTCTCTGGTCATACGCGTAAGAGTCAAGGTAATATGCATATGGAGGTCTGAGCAGTGAGGCCATACGCATATGATACTCAGGCCTGGGGCAGGGGAAGCTGGCCATACGCATATGGGCATGCTGTAGTGTAATTTTCTTATTTTCGCGATTTTTGCCTCGATTTCGCGTGCAATGTAACTTATCTTGATCTGTAAGACTAATGTGACATAATTGTACATAAGGGAACTAGTAATGATAGACACTTTGATAAAACATGGAATTTTATGTGATTGTCCTTATGAGACGTGTTTGATGCTTGTGCGCCAAGATTGTCATTGTGTGGACGGTCTTGAGTGGTGGTGGTAATTCTGGAAAGAATTACAGTAAGCATGTGGCTCGTGTATGATCATTGAGGATCATGGAATTATGCTTGAGTAATTATTATGTTTTGCATAATTTGTGTCATGCATTCGTATCATGTTATGTGGAGACGAGCTAGGTGGGAATCCATGATGGGTGCCTAGTCCTGTCCGGACTCTGTGTGGAAGTCGTGTGGAGATAAGTTGGATTTCCGAGGAACGTATACATCTTATCTGGATTCTGACGGGAATCAGGTTCTAGGATGAACCGTAAGTGATTGTGATGGTACCTCATGCATTGTGTCGTGTTAGTGAGTCGCATTGCATACTTATATATATATGAATGAATGTGAGTTGTTCATTATGAATGATGATGTGACACTTGTATATGCGTGACGATTGCATGATTGGTGTGTTTTGTGTGAATTACTCCTTAGCATGTATTTTCACCGTATATTTATTGAATGTAGTTTTCACCCCTTTTTCTATTTATTGCGTCTGTACTCCTTGGGGAGTATATATGATTAGGTACCTGAGTAGTGATTGGAGCATTACATTTCTATTTGATTGAGTCTTAGGAGTCGCTCTGATACGTAACACTGGAAGGATGAAGATTTCGTCATGTCTTTCATGTTATATGTTATTCGCTATTTGTTACGTATCCTGTTTTGTTTTATTGTTGTTGAACCATGTATTATATGGAGATTTGATGTAATTGGAGCTTTAATGCAAAACCATTGATTTGATTTCCGCTGTTTAATAAAAGTATTTGTTCTTATTGATGAATAAGAGATGAAGTTATTTGATACTTCATAACGAGGTTTTGTAAGGTGGCACCCTACGTGTGTAACTCTAATTATTTTCGCAATTATTTTTGTATTTTTAATTTTTATGCGAATGGGTAGAGTAGGGTGTTACAATTGGTATTTGAGAAGGTCGGTCCGTCCGGCCAGTGTAGTAGTAGAGTCTGACTATAGAGTGTGTATAGTCGTATGTTTAAAAAGGCATGACAATAATTTGTTTATTGAATGATCAGTGGTATACAAAAATATTTGGTTGAATGAAATAGGGTATAAATGAAATATAATATAATATAATTATCAAATATTTTACACACGTGATAATTAAAATAAGGTGTAATATACTGTATTTTTACACTCTATTTAAAGAAAATGTGATGTAAATGTATTGACATTCATAATAAGCATTATTCATTTTACATTCAATTTTATCAAATAAGGTGTAAATTCATTTGATTTAAATGTATATATATATATATATATATATATATATATATATATATATATATATATATATATATATATATATATATATATATATATATATATATATATATATATATATATATATATATATATATATATATATATATATATATATATATATATATATATATATATATATATATATATATATATATATATATATATATATATATATATATATATATATATATATATATATATATATATATATATATATATATATATATATAATTTACACCTTTTAAAAAAAAGTGTAATATACCATCTATTTATACCTGTTTTAAATAGGGTGTAAATTCTTCATACATTTCTCACCCTTTGAATTTATACTATCTAATGATAAGTGTAAAATGTATAAAAAATGGGTGTAAATTCCTTTTTATGCACTAGTGGGGGTGGATTGCAAGACAAATTTTTTTATTGGTTTTATGATATTCTTTTTCTAACACTCACCTTTAATAATTTAATTTTCTATTCTTGCTATCTATCTCACATAATGGTGTTGTTTTTGTTGTTGTTTGTGGTGGTTTTATTCACCTCTTGCCAATGTTGAATCGTAAAAAGAAACATTGTTATATTTTGGAATAACTCCCCAATATTGTCAATCAAAAAAAATATTCTATAATATATTGCTTTCTTCGGTTGACAATATTGAGAAGTTTATTCTTAATCATTCTACAATTTATTTTGAATATAGTTTGTTGTTTGATTACTGCAACACACAAAGAAATTAGTGAATGCGAAAAAATTGAAAAAGGAAACAATACATGTTTCTTTCAACTTTTTCCATTCACCATTTTTTTTGGTAATAGATGTAATCTAATACCTTGGTTGATTTAGGAACTGAGGAGAAAAGTCCTTATTTTAGTTTATTTTTATTTAGAAAATTTGCCCTCAGTTTTAGGCCAAAACCGAGTGAAAAAATAATTCAGTTTTGTCTCAATATATCTTTGCAGTCCATTTATAAATTAACAAAACTCAATATATATTAATTAGAGTGGGAATTGGAAAGATTTATTGACAATTAATGGGCAATAAATGAACACAAGTAAGAACTAATATAGAAGTGAATTTGAAAAGATTCATTTTAGTCCCATATTGAAGGGAATGGAAATATTAGTAGTGTTTATATATTCCAACTTGGTCAATTGGGTTGGGCCCTAAAGGGCACCCAATTTTGTGAAAGGAGTGAGGACACACCCATGACCATCAAGACACGCGCGTCATCCGACCGGTACGGTCCGGTCCGTCTGGTCCGGTCCGGTCTACCTGAATTATTTTTTGGACCCAAATTTATAGAATTTAATTATCATTAATTAATTAATATAATTCGGTGGAAAATTAATTAATAATAAATATTAATTAATTAATTAAGAAAATAATTGGTCAGTAACTGCCATATTGACTAGATCTAGTATTTTCCCATTCTCCAACGATTTTCTCCATTCACCACGAATTTCTCCCTACTCAGCCTTACTAGCTGCCTATAAATACAAGGTAGAAGTTCAGTAGTGAAATAGCGGATTTAAAAAAGTTCACACGAATTTTGATTTCCGTCTTCTCTCCCTTAATTCTCTTCATCTACAAATCCTTCTTTTCTTGTTTTTTCTTGTTTTTTCGACTGGCTATTTTCGCCAGATACTGTGACTTAGAAAGGTATATTTCTAGAGCAATTTATCAATCGTACGTTATTGAACGGGCTGTTTTATCCTGGAGACGTCGTCGTAAATCGACTGCTTTGCATATTTTGACAGTACGGCGAAACGTCTTAAAGAAAGCGACCTAGTACGCGACTCGTCCCGATAATTTCCTTGTGCCAAACTCAATTTTTCAAATCCGAAAACAACATTCTACAATTTATTTTGAATATAGTTTGTTGTTTGATTACTGCAACACACAAAGAAATTAGTGAATGCGAAAAAATTGAAAAAGGAAACAATACATGTTTCTTTCAACTTTTTTCATTCACCATTTTATTTGGTAATAGATGTAATCTAATACCTTGGTTGATTTAGGAACTGAGGAGAAAAGTCCTTATTTTAGTTTATTTTTATTTAGAAAATTTGCCCTCAGTTTTAGGCCAAAACCGAGTGAAAAAATAATTCAGTTTTGTCTCAATATATCTTTGCAGTCCATTTATAAATTAACAAAACTCAATATATTTGCAACACATCAATCAATAATAAACCATCTACATCTAATCAGAATGCGAACATTACTGCTATATATCTAGGTCGTTACATTGTGAAAGCCAAACATTCATAATGAAATAATTTGTCATGAAAAAAGTGAAACTTAAAAAAAAACTTAGAAAATATCTCTGTGATGAATTGCAACACTACTACAAAATACACTTTCAGTAACATAATACTACTATGGTTATGCTTTCCACCATTGTAATATTGCAAACTGGATGCGCCTGATATATTTTTTATTTTTTCAAAAGTTATTTAATCACGGTTGAGATAAACAACTGAGGTGATAAAGTGTTACAAGCTTCGAATCCTAGAAACTACATTTTTTTTTCATTTTTCCTATTACAAAAAGCGCGTGTCACTTAAGTTCATAAATAAATAAAAAATTGAAAACTATTTAACCACGGTTTTACTATTCAACCGTTGTAATAAGCTTTACATTTCACTGCGGTTGGATATAACAACCATGGTCAAAGGTTTTCTAGATAAATTTAAAACAAAATAGATTCATTATTTCCTTCATAACATGTCCTAAGTGAACTAGCGAAATCTTCATCTTCACAATCTTTGTTCATTGAATCTTCATTCATGATAATCTTCACTATCTTCATTCTTGGTCTCTTTCTCTTCGAAGTACGGTATGTTTCGTGCAAATTTAACTATCTTCCTCATCTTCCTAATTCTTGATAATTTTCACTATCTTCATTCTTGTTTGATTCTATGGTCTATTTTGTGTAAAGTTCATATGCTTTATGTTTTGTTGTTGGATTTAGTAGTGAACAAAAATATTATAACTTCGCTACAATGTATATTCATATGCTTAAGATTTAGATTTGTATTATGAATATGCTTTAGTTTTATGATATGCTTTAGGTTTAGATTTTGTTATGTCATTCACAATATTATTTTGATATAAATTTCAGAATTTATTATGGATAGTAGTTGGATGAAAGCTGATAGATTAGGTCTGGTATATGAGAAAGGATTTCTTGAATTCCTTGAATACGCTGATCAAAATCTTCCTGACAATAATGATATCTTTTATTGTCCTTGTGTTAATTTCAAGAATTTAAATAAAGGTACAAAGAATGAGATATTCCATCACCTATGTTGTGATGGTATATGTCAAAATTATACAATATTGACGTGGCATGGTGAGGTGGAAAAAAGCGAAACAGGGAGTCACAAAGTTGATGAAGATGAATATATGGATGACCAACTAGAAGATATGTCCCGTGATATTGGAGAATCTTCTTTTATGAAAGCCCATATTTATGATACTTTATGTCGTGATAAGGACACCCATTCATATAAGAGGTGCACAAGTTTTACACGATTGTCTACGAAGCTAAAATTGTTTAATCTGAAAGAAAAAATGGGTGGTCGGATAAAAGTTTTACGGAATTGCTTTATTTTCTAAAACAAATGCTACTAGAAGATAACAATTTGCCTTATCATTGTTATGATTCCAAGAAGATATTGTGTCTAATAGGTATGGAGTATATTAAAATACATACATGCCCTAATGACTCTATATTATACAAGAAAGAGTATGAAAATTTGGATCAATGTCCGGAATGTGTGGTGTCGCGTTACAAGTTGAAGGACAATAATGGTGATGACAATGACAATGACAATGTTAGTAGGAAGTTTCCTCCAGCTAAAGTGTTATGGTAATTGCTAATAATTTAAATATTCAAGAGACTTTTTGCTAATGCGAGTGATGCAAAGAATATTAGATGACATGCAGATGAAATAAAAAGTGATGGAAACATACACCATGTAGCTGATTCTTTGCAATGGAAGAAAGTTGATTTGTTGTTTCTTGATTTTGGCACCGAGGCAAGTAACCTTAGGCTTGGGCTTTCCACCGATAGAATGAACCCCTTTGGTAATATGAGTACTAACCATTCATCGTGGTTTGTTATTCTTACGATTTACAACCTATCTCCTTGGTTGTGCATGAAGTGTAAGTATATGTTGTTAAGTATGATAATTTCTGGACCACGACAACCTGAAAAAAACATAAATGCTTATCTATGTCCATTAATTGAAGATTTAAGACTTTTCTGGGAGGAAGACATTTTGATGATGCACATTCTGGTGAAAAGTTTAAGAGGTGTGCAATGTTATTTTGTATAATCGACAATTTTCCTCCATATGGTAATTTGGGTGGATATAGTGTCAAAGGACAAAAAGTATGTCCTATTTGTGAATATAATACTTGTTATCGCCAAATTAAGTTTAGAAAAAAGACTGTTTACCTTGGACATCGAAAATTTCTAAAACTCGACGATTCTTATTGTAGATTGCAGAAGGCTTTAATATAGAGCAGAAGTTTGATATCGCTTCTAAACATTTAACCGGGGATGAAGTTTATCAATGAAAGAAACACATTAATGTTGTCTTTGGAAAGAAATAAAAATAAAAAAGGTCAGTTGAGAAAAATATATTTATGGAAAAAGAGGTTTGTATTCTTTGATCTTCCATATTGGTTAAACCTTGATGTAAGACATTATCTTGATGTGATACATATAGAGAAAAATATGTGTGATAGTTTGATTGAAGCACTTCTAAACATTCCAGACAAGACTAAAGATATTCAGCAATCTCGTATCGATATGGAAGTGATGGGTATACAAAAACAATTGGCTCCAATAGAAAAAGGGAAAAGAACTTATCTGCCTCCGGCTTGTTACACTCTATGTAAATAGGAAAATAAAGGTTTTTGCGAGTGTTTTCATGGTATCAAAGTTCCCCAAGGTTACTCATCAAACATCAATAAACTTGTATCAATGAAAGATCTCAAGTTAATTAGTTTAAAATATCATGATTGTCATGTCTTGATGCAACAACTTCTACCAGTGGCTATCCGTGGCATCCTACCAAAATATGTGAGAGTAATTATAACCAGATTGTGTTTGTTCTTCAATTCTATATGTAATAAAGTTCTTGATTTAAAAATATTAGATTAATTAGAAGATGAAGTTGCCAAAATCTTGTGTCAATTGGAGATGTATTTTTCTCCATCATTTTTTGACATTATGGTTCACTTACTTGTTCATCTAGTAAGAGAAATCAATTTTTGTGCTCCAGTCTATTTAAGGTGGATGTATCCAGTAGAGCGATACTTGAAGATATTTAAAGGATATATGAAGAATCATCACCGACCAGAAGCTTCGATTATTAAAAGGTACATCACATAAGAAGTTGTTGAGTTTTGTACAAACTATTTGTCAGAAGCAGAGTCTATAGGAATTCCAATGTCTCGTCATGCTGAAACTGAAGGTAGAGGTATTCAAGGTTTAAATGTTAAGTCAATGGCTCGCGATGTAGTTATTAAGGCACATTTCTATAAATTAAATAATCTTGAAGAAGTTCAACCTTACATGGCTACTGACAAAAGAATTTTGAAGAAAAGATATCCACGAATGAGTGACCAGTTATTTCGATCGAGCATAACAAGAAATTCCTAGATTGGTTTAATAAAAGGATACCAATTGATCATAGTGCATCGGGACAATTAAATGGTTGTCATACATGCCAAAATTTAATATGATAACTTGGACTGCATATGACATTTGTCATTATACATTTTATACAAAATCAAAAGATGATTGTAGTACAATGCAAAATAATGGGGTTATGGTTGAGGCCGAATCAATGTATTTCTCTAGTTTGAAATATAATAATCCAATATTGGCATCTAGTGCATTCTATGGTGTCATTGAGGATATTTCAGAGATTGATTATGTTATCTTAAAAGTGCTTTTAGTTAAATGCAAGTGGGTTCCCAATAATATTAATGGTGTACAAACAGATGACTTAGGATTCACCCAAGTTGACCTTGGCAAGACAAATTATATGACCAAACCATTCATCATGGCTTCACAAGTAAAACAAGTTTTCTATGTGGCCGACCCTTCGGACACATCAGAGAAATGGTCAATCGTTCTCCGAGGAAAATATATTCCTAATAGTGATGAAAGTTTTGATATTCCTTCTACTCCTTACACAACACAAGTGCCTACTACATATGATGAAGCTGATAGAGATGGTGTGCATGCTATTCGTATCAGTCATAATGAAGGCATATGAGAAAAGTAACAAGTATTTTTTTCTTTATTCATAATTTAATGTAAGTTATTATTTCTAAGTATATTTACTAACAAGTATGATTATTTGAAATTGTATGCGTTTAAAGTCAAGACTCCAAGAGACAAGAAACCAAAACATTAAGATACAATTATGTGATATTATATAATGTGTTGTAGGTTATTTTGCACCATTTTTCTTTTGATGTAATATATATACAATGTTTGGTTCTTAATCCAATATTTGGAATTGATGTAATACAATGCAATTAGTGTTATGATACATTTTTTTAAAACCAGATAATCTAACGAAGGTTGTTAAATATAGTCGTGGTTGTATAGTGAATGTTGTTCAGAATAATATATATATACAAAAAAGACGCTGCTGAGAAACGAACCTGCGACCTTTAGTATATTACAACGGTTACTTAAAGAAACTGATAATATGTCGTGTGATTTCAAGTTTTCTACAACGGTCATACGACCATGATTCTAAGTAACACATATACAACCACACACTACTTCACATCAGTGGGTCACGCGTGATGGCATCCATTTTCTAACTGTTGTTGTATATGTTTTTTGTAGTAATGCAAGACAAAAAAACAATTTGATTTAAGGTTGATTTTCTAACATAATCTCTTATCATGTAATTGAAAATTTGTTTTATTTATCTAATCCTTTTTTTATATTTTATATCAAAAACAAATGCATGCAATATCCAAAATTTAATATTCCTCGAGATTCAATGAAATGAGGTTCCAATATTTATTCTTTACCTCAAATTGAACTTCCTCAAGCTGTCATCACATGGCTGTTTGCCTCCATGTCTCTGAATATTCACACAAGATTGGTTAAATATAATCATTCCTCCAAATTTAGAATACTTTGAAAGTTTACTTTAAATATGATCAGTTCATCAATGATACTCTTCTTGTCAACAAGAATAAAAATAGATTGTATGCTTTTGACTTGCTTAAGTAGACTATTCAGACTGAGAGTACTAATGTCACTTGTAATTTTGTCTTTTTGGATATTTCTAGCATAACAATGCCTTTTAAATGGTGATCTAAATGAATCAATCTATATGGCTCAACCTAATGGATTTATCAAAGTCTCCAAAGATACCTTGGCCTACAAGCTTCAAAAATCTCTCTATGGACCGAAACAAGCTTTTCGTGTCTAGTTTCGTAAACTTCACAACTTTATAATCAACAACGATTTCTATTCCACACAAAGTGACAACTTATTATTCACTAAGATAACTCTAACAACAACCATCTATAGTCTCGTTTATGTTGAATGTCATTATCATTGGAAACTCCATTCATGCAATCAAAAATTTCATCAAACTTTCCATACTCACTCCCTTTTTAAAATATTAGCCCCCAAAACTAATTCATTGGAATTCAATTTCAAAAATTATCCTACACTCCTTTTATCTAACTTAAAACAAATGTCCATGACCTTCTCTGCAAATCCAAAATGCAAGATGTCAACCAAATGCCAACACATATAACCTCTACAACTAAACTCTCCATCTATGCTTTTCATGAATTTGATGAACATCCCCTATATAGGTTCGTTATTGAAGGCCTTCAATATGTCAACATAACTCATCTTGACTTGGCATTTGCAATCAACAAAGTCATCCATGTCATCCACAATATCAAAGCCTCATTGGATAACAATTAAAAAAATCCATATATACTTTAAAGGAAGTGCAGACCATGGTCTTAATCTTACTTGATAAATTAATCTCACCATCTCAATGCTTTGTGATATTGATTGGGGATCTGATCTAGTTAATAAACAACCCATAACATGTTATTGTTTTTACCCAGGCAACAACCTCATATCATGGTCCATTTTCATCATCCACTAAACATATTTTCTATCGTGACAATTTAAGCGTAGTGTCGCGGTGAGAATTGGATAACAAGTTATTGATTAACTTGAATCACAAATCATTTTTCACCACCGGTCTTTAATTTATCCAAGGGAAGGGAAAAAAATCGAAATAACCCATGAGTATGCAATGCAATGCAAAGCTAGAGAATCTAATGTTCGGGGGCTTGTTATACCTAGGGAAGGTGCTAACATCCTAAGTATCTGTAGTACTCTATAGGAACCTCTTATTTTATTGTGTTATTTTTTATTTTGTCTGCTAAGGGTGAAAAGGAAAAAGAATACCTAAGGTGCTATTCCTAAGTATGCTCGCCAAGAAGTCGCATCTTGTGCCTACATATCCTGACGAGAATAGAATTAGAGAATTCGTAGTTTCTCTAAAGGGATGAGGAACTCTTGACTATGGCCAAAGTTCCAG